AATTGGAGCAGGTCATGGTTCTGGATCAGCTGGTTCATCAGGTTCATTATCTGGTAATATCGGAGGCTTAAGTGGTAGCATTGGATCTGGTCATGGTTCAGGTTACGGCAAAGGCACTGCCAGTGTTGGTGCTGGAATTGGAGCAGGTCATGGTTCAGCCTCTGGTGGTTCATCAGGATCATTAACTGGTCATATTGGTGGCTTAAGTGGAAGTATTGGCGCTGATCACGGATCCGGCAATAGTAAAGGCTCTGCTGGTATTGGTGCTGGAATTGGAGCAGGTCATGGTTCAGCCTCTAGTGGTTCATCAAGTTCATTATCCGGTAATATCGGAGGCTTAAGTGGAAGTATTGAATCTGGTCATGGTTCAGGTTACGGCAAAGGCTCTGCTGGTATTGGTGCTGGAATTGGAGCAGGTCATGGTTTAACCTCTGGTAGTTCATCAGGTTCATTATCTGGTAATATCGGAGGCTTAAGTGGTAGCATTGGATCTGGTCATGGTTCAGGTTACGGCAAAGGCACTGCCAGTGTTGGTGCTGGAATTGGAGCAGGTCATGGTTCAGCCTCTGGTGGTTCATCAGGATCATTAACTGGTCATATTGGTGGCTTAAGTGGAAGTATTGGCGCTGATCACGGATCCGGCAATGGTAAAGGCTCTGCTGGTATTGGTGCTGGAATTGGAGCAGGTCATGGTTCAGCCTCTAGCGGTTCATCAGGTTCATTATCTGGTAATATCGGAGGCTTAAGTGGAAGCATTGGATCTGGTCATGGCTCTGGTAATGGCAAAGGCACTGCTGGTATTGGTGCTGGAAATGGAGCAGGTCATGGTTCAGCCTCTGGTGGTTCATCAGGTTCATTATCTGGTCATATCGGAGGCTTAAGTGGAAGTATTGGATCTGGTCATAGTTCAGGTTACGGCAAAGGCACTGCCAGTGTTGGTGCTGGAATTGGAGCAGGTCACGGTTCATCCTCTGGTGGTTCATCAGGTTCATTGTCTGGTCATATTGGTGGCTTAAGTGGAAGTATTGGTGCTGATCACGGATCTGGTAATGGTAAAGGCTCTGCTGGTATTGGTGCTGGAATTGGAGCAGGTCATGGTTCCGGATCCGCTGGTTCATCAGGTTCATTATCTGGTCATATTGGTGGCTTAAGTGGAAGTATTGGTGCTGATCATGGATCCGGTATTGGCAAAGGCTCTACTGGTATTGGTGCTGGAATTGGAGCAGGTCATGGTTCAGCCTCTAGCGGTTCATCAGGTTCATTATCTGGTAATATCGGAGGCTTAAGTGGAAGCATTGGCGCTAATAATGGCTCTGGTAATGGTAAAGGCACTCCTGGTATTGGTGCTGGAATTGGAGCAGGTCATGGTTCAGCCTCTGGTGGTTCATCAGGATCATTAACTGGTCATATTGGTGGCTTAAGTGGAAGTATTGGCGCTAATCATGGCTCTGGTAATGGTAAAGGCTCTGCAGGTATTGGTGCTGGAATTGGAGAAGGTCATGGTTCAGCCTCTAGTGGTTCATCAGGTTCATTATCAGGTCATATTGGTGGCTTAAGTGGAAGTATTGGCGCTAATCATGGCTCTGGTAATGGCAAAGGCACTGCTGGAATTGGTGCTGGTATTGGAGCAGGTCATGGTTCAGCCTCTAGTGGTTCATCAGGTTCATTATCTGGTAATATCGGAGGCTTAAGTGGAAGTATTGGATCTGGTCATGGGTCAGGTTACGGCAAAGGCACTGCCAGTGTTGGTGCTGAAAATGGAGCAGGTCATGGTTCAGCCTCTGGTAGTTCATCAGGATCATTATCTGGTCATATTGGTGGCTTAAGTGGAAGTATTGGCGCTGATCACGGATCCGGTAATGGTAAAGGTTCTGCTGGTATTGGTGCTGGAATTGGAGCAGGTCATGGTTCAGCCTCTGGTGGTTCATCAGGTTCATTATCTGGCAATATCGGAGGCTTAAGTGGAAGTATTGGCGCTAATCATGGTTCTGGTAATGGTAAAGGCTCTGCTGGTATTGGTGCTGGAATTGGAGCAGGTCATGGTTCAGGCTCTGGTGGTTCATCAGGTTCATTATCTGGTCATATTGGTGGCTTAAGTGGAAGTATTGGCGCTAATCATGGCTCTGATAATGGTAAAGGCACTGCTGGTATTGGTGCTGGAATTGGAGCAGGTCATGGTTCAGCCTCTGGTGGTTCATCAGGTTCATTATCTGGTAATATTGGTGGCTTAAGTGGAAGTATTGGCGCTAATCATGGATCCGGTAATGGTAAAGGCTCTGCTGGTATTGGTGCTGGAATTGGAGCAGGTCATGGTTCTGGATCAGCTGGTTCATCAGGTTCATTATCTGGTAATATCGGAGGCTTAAGTGGAAGTATTGGTGCTGATCATGGATCCGGTAATGGCAAAGGTTCTACTGGTATTGGTGCTGGAATTGAAGCAGGTCATGGTTCAGCCTCTAGTGGTTCATCAGGTTCATTATCTGGTAATATCGGAGGCTTAAGTGGAAGTATTGGATCTGGTCATGGTTCAGGTTACGGCAAAGGCACTGCCAGTGTTGGTGCTGGAATTGGAGCAGGTCATGGTTCAGCCTCTGGTGGTTTATCAGGATCATTATCTGGTCATATTGGTGGCTTAAGTGGAGGTGTTGGCGCTGATCACGGATCCGGTAATGGTAAAGGCTCTGCTGGTATTGGTGGTGGAATTGGAGCAGGTCATGGTTCAGCCTCTAGTGGTTCATCAGGTTTATTATCTGGCAATATCGGAGGCATAAGTGGAAGTATTGGATCTGGTCATGGTTCAGGTTACGGCAAAGGCACTGCCAGTGTTGGTGCTGGAATTGGAGCAGGGCATGGTTCAGCCTCTGGCGGTTCATCAGGATCATTATCCGGTAATATTGGTGGCTTAAGTGGAAGCATTGGATCCGGTCATGGTTCTGGTAATGGTAAAGGCTCTGCTGGTATTGGTGCTGGAATTGGAGCAGGTCATGGTTCTGTATCCGCTGGTTCATCAGGTTTATTATCTGGTAATATTGGTGGCTTAAGTGGAAGCATTGGATCCGGTCATGGTTCAGGTTACGGCAAAGGCACTGCCAGTGTTGGTGCTGGAATTGGAGCAGGTCATGGTTCAACCTCTAGTGGTTCATCAGGTTCATTATCTGGTCATATTGGTGGCTTAAGTGGAAGTATTGGTGCTGATCATGGATCCGGTAATGATAAAGGTTCTGCCAGTGTTGGTGCTGGAATTGGAGCAGGTCATGGTTCAGCCTCTAGTGGTTCATCAGGTTCATTATCTGGTAATATCGGAGGCTTAAGTGGAAGTATTGGTGCTGATCATGGATCGGGTAATGGCAAAGGCTCTGCTGGTATTGGTGCTGGAATTGGAGGTGGTTATGGATCATCTTCAGTAGGCTCTTCAGGTTTGTTGTCTGGTCATGTTGGAGGCTTAAGTGGAAGTAGTGGTTCTGGTTATGGTTCTTCTTATCTTGGTAGCGGAAGTAAAGCTACTTCATCGGGTTATCATTCTGGTGGCTTGAGCGGTAGTTTTGGAGGACTTGGGGGACATATTGGAGGCTCCTCTGGATTGGGATTGTTTGGCTGAAGAAATTGCTTATGGCATATCGGACTTACCCTAGTTAGGAACTAACAGCTAAATAACTTGTAATAATTTTGTGATACATGATTAATATATCTTTTTTACTTAAATTGTTTGTATATATTTTGTCTCTGCTTACTTTTTCTTCTATTTTTTTGCTTTTTGTTTTATTTGCTGTTGTGTTTTAACTTCACATGTTTGGACTTACCATATATCAAAGTAAGTCTACGTTTTGGGGCTCATTTTCTCATATAATCAAATTCTATTTTATTGGATTATATTTTTGAGACTTACGATTGAAAATAGTAGTTTCGTTGGTTATGCAGCTATGGGAAGCGCATCAGTGATGAGACATTGCTGAAGGAACGTTTATATATTTTCGTATTATATATATTACATTTGGATCTTAGCATATTTTATTCAAATCTCTTGCACAGAATTATCAATTTGATCGTTCCGGAAATAAACGGAACGTTTCAGAAATAAATTTTGATTAAAACTTTAGATTTGAAAATATTGTTGCATAATGGCAGTAAATGTGAAATTAAACATTATTTAAATATTATACAGAGAATATTCCAAAATACTAGATTATACACAGATAATTTTTGATGACATATCGGCACATAGTTGGCAATATCGTGGTTCGGCCATTACTTGATGGATACGCGTTTGCATACAAACATGTTGTTCTGCGCAATCGATCGATGTTTTTGGTGACTAAGCCGAAAAAGATTGCTTATCGTACTGATTTAACAAACATAGAAATTAAAATTGGCTGTTTGTGTCACGCTTTTGTCATTTTCAAAGAAGTGATCAAAGGTCTTTTACACCAGACTGTATGCCATCCTTGCAATAATACTTTGTGCTTGAAATAGTCTTTCTCCAGTTACTTCTAGATTTTCACTGTCCCAGATACCGAATGTAACAGTTTTGTTTGTTAATATATTTACCAAACCAAATAGTACTGCATTATTTTAGTAACATAAATAGTTTCACGATTTTGGAATTGGCATTCCTTCTAGGCCAGAAGGTTTGTCGTTTTCACACATTGCAAAATTGCAAATAATTCATAAGCTTTTCACGATTTTCTATTGTTTCTATTTTTGATGAATAGTACTTATCATCAGAACTCGATCCAGATAAAAGATCTCAAACATATCTTCACACTATTGCAGAAAACAATCTTGGGTGGTCTGTGAACTTCGACTGATCTTGTAGAACTTCGATGTTGGGAAAGAATTCTTTACAGTCTATATTCCTGCGAACGCTTAAGATAACTAAAAACTAATTACAAACTGATATAACTGACACATGTACAATAAGTATGATACCTTGTACATGTGAAGTACATTTGCAATAAAATTTCTTCCAATCGAATATAATATCAGAATAATCGATATTAATGATGTTGGTAAAATTTTAATGACTAATGATTTTTAGCTTTAGTTACTTATAAGTGACATTGGTTAGTGGCTATATCCAACAGAATTGTTAAGACTACTTATAATTTTTTTCTTCTTTGATCTATAACTACAAACCTTCTAAGCTTCAAGGATATGTTCAAGGAGTGGATTACTTACTGTAGACTGACACACTGATTACTCTAGATGTATCTTTTATGTTATATGTTATTTTACCTCAATATATTCTAGTAGTATTCCTTATATTCGAACACATGCCTTATACACAGTATGTACCTATAAATTTGCTAAATATGTGTCTGTTGTTATCACTTATCAGTATTATTTTTGTATATAGCTTGTTTGATATTAATACATAGAGGATACGATAATTTTGAATTCTATAAACTCATATTGTCCATTCGGAAACATAACAGTTGTTTATTTTTCCAACAGTAAGTCCAATTAAATTACATTGAAATTATATATTATATAATATATATTATGTTGAAATCAAACACGATGAATAGATAGAGTTATATATGAGTTCGATCATATATATATATATATCAGTAAATTAATTTATTTGCTTTCTATTATAATTATGAAAAGTTACCCAAACTTTACAGATTTTTATTGATTATAATAAGTAATATATGTAATATAAGTATATAAGTAGAGTCGGAATATTTTACCTATCATTATACACCTCCTTGGGCTCACTACTTGTTTCATTAGGGACCTCAACTTAGATATATTATCGTTGTTCTCTTAATATATATATGTTATAAAAAATATTATAGGATTTCTATAAAATAAAGATGAACTTAAGATTTTTATTTATTTAGCTGCTTATCGTTCTATGATTATAGTATAGTATATATCTTATATCGGTCTACAGTAGTTTTGATTTTATCTATAATACTTGATTTTAATACAAGTTTGATAATCTTTCCTTATGAATCTCCAACAAATTATGTTATGTATAGTTCATAATCAAAATATTTTGTATCATATGTCGAGGTTCTGATCTGTAACTCATAGATGTCAATTATAAGTTTTCTACTTGCACTTTTTTCCAGATTTTAAACAATAACTCCATGCTTTGAAATATTAAGTTTCTTCTTCTTTCGAAGAGCGTAGTAAGAGGTACTTAATATAATTAGTTTAACTATGAAGTAGCATTAGGTTATCAATGTCTGTGTTAACATAGCGTACCATGAATGATTAAGTTAAATTAAAAAAGCCATAACCAAATAGAATTAGATAAAAACAGTTGAGGGAGAATATAAATAATTCCAAGAATGCAGTAAAGTCTTTAGGAACTATTTCGAGTACATTTTGTAGATATCTTGCCGAGGCACGTTTGTTGTTGTGTTGTTGTTGTTGGCTTTGTTTCAATAACAGCAAGAAAAAAATCATGTTGCTTGGTAATGCTCCATGCTGGTAACATGAAGCAGTGTCAAAGTTCGTTTTTACTGGATAGTTTTCCTTTAATTTATGATGTAGTGAACATGTAAGACTATCAACTGCAATGAAGGCCGTAATAGAGCATCAGCAACACAGACAATCGTATGAAACAAATATTTGCAGGATACTTACGAAAGAAATTGTGAACTGGAAATGGGAGTTTGATCCTTGGTTTTTGTTGGAAACTTGCAACTTTTAGCGGAAGCTATTGTGATTGTGGTCACTTCAATGGTGTGATGTGTTTGCATGACTGTTTTGAGAATTGGAAGTTGGTATGTGTTACCCTATATTTGTCAAACTTGCACGTACTTTAGATATTGTGTTTGTTGCCAGTGCTTATTCTTGCCATAGCAATTCGGCCCATATTTGTACTTTAAATAAAAGTTGTTCCTTTTCGGCGCTACAATTTAGAAAAACAATTTCGTTTCATGATGTTTGTAACTTATTTATGCAGTAATAAAAGTAATAATATCGGAATGGAGAGATGAAAAGTAATATTATATATTCTGTAATATTATTTATACTTGGCTCACTTTTCTGCTGAAATTTTTGCTAATGAAAAATGCGATTTTTACTTCTGCACAGCCGTACAATCGATCATATTTTTTGCTTATGTGCTCTATTTGTATAATAATCCTTGCAGTAATAAATTCGACCCATTGTCCTGTAGCCTTTTTCCTCATGTGCACACACACACACAACAGAAAAGGAAAACTTTTATTTAACTTTTCACATACGCGCGCATTATTCCTGGCCCCGTACTTCCTGTGTTCTCTTCGATGCAGTCCTTGAGAATACTGGAATGTGCAACTTCTGACATTTGAAATATTGTTATTGTTTTAAGTTTTGTTTGTTATAGTAGAATATTTTTTTTTTCATTGTAGTTTGTGATTTTTTAATTTTGGTTTTGTATTGTTTTCAGTTGTGTAATATTTTAGTTGGTGACTTGTAGCGTTGCAGATACTCGTTTCACTTGAAATCGTGCTGTACGTGTTTCTAAAATTGATGAATGGCTGCAACATCATTTGTTTCCCGATTTTACATTTGCACAGAATTTGAACATAAAATTCAGGTAAAAACATACAAAACCTATTGCAGTTGACACTTTGTAGTTCCCATTTTTATTTAAAAACTTACGACTGATAAGAAAAAGTGCTGGATAGTAGATTCACTAGTGTTTTGATGAATTATTTACGAATTGTATTTATTATCACTAACAAAAACTGCAATAACAATTGCTATAGGAAACAAATTTGCTATAAGAAAATTCAGAAAGTAATGCTAAATTATTCATTAAATTAGGAAAGGAAGCAAATGCTCAGTCTCTCTAATCAAAACTGCTCAAATTGTATTATTGTTAATTTCCTTACATTGTTACATCTAAAACTGGTGCGGATGTATTCATTTTCTAGTTGGTTAATAAGGAAAAATTGACAGGCTATCCTACTTACCACTATCTAATCTTAGAGTAATCACTCTCCGCACGGGGAGGTACGCAGATCTTAGATCAATCACTGAATAATCATGAAGTTTATAAGGAATACATAAATTAGTCAATATGATGGGTGGGACCCTGTAGTATCCCTAGCTATCAAAGAGTAAAAGTGCCCAGTTGCGCTGACTCGAAAAAAGAATCAACATATTGGGAAAAAAAAAATATTTCGAAATAATTACTCGATTTGAGTACAATAAACGTAATCCAAAATAAAGTTGAAATTTTATAAACGTTTCTTACCCTAAGCCACACACATATTCTGTGTACTGGAAACATTCAATGGTGTTATAAGGACCTGTTAACAAAACGGGTGTTGTAAGAAATTATTATACATAGAAAAAATCTTACACAACTGTCTTACTATAGGACAGGTGTAATATAAAATTTTAGCGGCAAAATTTTAATAAAATAATAATAATAAATCAATCAACAAAACGCGTTATCAAGTTTACAAAAATTCTAACAATAATAAAAAAATAATAAAAAAATTATTAAAAATCTACACTTAAACAATAACAATAATTAGAATAATAATAAAAACAATAAAAAAATTTACTACTGCAAAGTAGTAAAAAAATTGACGTATAATTACACTAACAAAACAATAGTGTATATTACACTTCTTCGGTATGAAAGCCGCGTCAAAAATTCACATCTCTACTTTTGGCAACTCTTTACAAGGGTGATAGAAATTTAAATCTCTATCACAAATCCTTCGTCCACGGCTAAAGAAATCCACATT